GGCTCGATCCCCAGTAGGGGTTGTGCAGGAGGCAGCCGATCAATGATTCTCTCTCATCATTGAGGTTTCTATCTCTTTCTCCCTCTCCCCTTCTCTCTGAAATCGATAAAATACATTAAAAAAAGAATGTGTAATCTGTCTTTGGGTAGAATGCTTTATAAATGTTGATTAGATCCTACTGATTGATGTTGTTTACTTCCTTTATATTCTTGTTGATTTTCTTTCTGGTTGTTCTGTGAACTGTTGAGAGAGGGAAATTGATATCTCCAACTATGATTGTGGAATTGTGTATTTGTCCTTCGCATTTTATGAATTTTTCCTCACATAAATTCAATTTTGTTGTTGGGGCATACACATTTAGGATTCCTAGGTGGTTTTGGTAATTGACCATTTTACCATTACAAAGTGTCTTCCTCTGTCTCTGGTGATTTTCTTTGCTCTGAATTCTTCTTTATCTGATACTAATATGTCCATTCCTGCTTTCTTTTGATTAATGTTGGCATGATATCTTTTTTCTATCATTTTACTTTCATTATGCCTTTATCATTATATTTGAAGTGAGTTTCTTTTAGACAGCCTATGGTTAGGTCATTTTTATCCATTCAACCAATAGTTGTGTTTTAATTGGTATATTTAGAATAGTTATATTAATCTAATTATTAATATATTTAGACTAAAATTGCTATTTTGTATTTTTCTCCTATTCTCTCGCATTTTATTTCTGTTTTCTTTTTATTGCATTTTGTGGTTATTGAACATTCTTTAAATTTTCATATTGATTTATCTAGAGTGTTTTTAGTGTAGACCTTTGTAAAACTTCTTAGTGGTTTGCTTGGTATTATATTAGATTTGAATAACTTATTAGTTTACTGTTAAGTCATTTCACCAGTTTCAATGAAGTATAGAAACTTTACTTCAATATGCCCATTAATCAACTGTTTTTTAATAATGTAATTGTTTTAAATATTCTACATATTTTTAGAACCACACTTGGTACTGTTATAATCTTTGCCTTTTTGATATTTTTATTGATTTCAGAGAGGAAGGGAGAGGGAGAGAGAAATAGAAACATCAATGATGAGAGAGAATTATTGATCGGCTGCCTCCTGCATGCCCCCTGCTGGGGATCGAGCCCGCAACCCGGGCATGTGCCCTTGACAGGAATCGAACCAGAGACCCTTCAGTCTGCAGGCTGATGCTCTATCCATTGAGCCAAACCAGCTAGGGCTAATTTTTGCTTTTATAAATTTTTGCTAATTTCATAGAATAGGCAACAGCCAATGAGTCTTACATGGAAAATTTGTTTAAAATTACTTTTTGATATCTAATTAGATTACTGATTATATCACTCCCCTGTTGCAATTATTAAAATCCTTCCAATCATAAGTGATGAACTTCCTTCACAACCTTATATTAAAAAAATGAAATACAATGTTTACAAGATCTAAACATCCTATGGCACAACTAGCTTCACATATAAGTCATTTTTTTTTTCTTATGTATCTGGCTCTTTTCCTGTTTTATTTTCCTCTGTTTCTTTATGTTGATTTTCTTCATTCTCATGTACACAAGATAGCCATGAGTATCTTTATATTTACATACTACCAGCTTAGCAACCGTAGTGAAAATGACTTCTCGTTTTAGTTAACATCTCAAATTTAATTTTTAAATGTACGTTAGGTCACATGCCCATGCTTAAACAATTACCAGAACCAGAAATTTGAGATAAATTAATTGGACATGGCTGTGTTCTTCCTTTAGCCATGACAGTGAATTCAATTAAACCTAAACAAACAGGGCTAAGATTGGAGAATTGAGTTTTCTCCCAGGAAAATCAGGGTCTTATTATCATAAGTATTTTAGGTGGATGCTAAGGAGGCAAAAACAAAATTCACTGTTTTTTTCTCAAAATAAAACATCTTAACCAGTGTCCTATTTCTTACAGGGAAAAAAAATACCTCAATTTATACTCTGTGTCAATTATTCCTTGTGGGATTAATTTCAAAACATTTCCACCTCAACCCCCAAATGGTGGCCACAGTTACCCAAACAAGCCAAAGTCTCTTAAGTCTATTCCTTTGTCTGACATAGTCTCTCTTCACCAACACATACCCAACTGCCACTCTCCATCTGTAGAAACTCACAATACTATTTAAAGATTCAGATTTAAATGTAATATCACTATGAAACATTCCCCAACTCCCATGAAATAATCAGACAGTTCTCACACTTACACAATACTACATAAATAAATCTATTAAAGCATATAGTGTATTCTGATAGTTTCTATGTGATATTTCCCTCACCTGGACTGTGAATTACTTGGGAGTACAGACTGCTGCAACAGTTAACACATCTCTGAAGGCTAGGGTGCTAACTGACGCAGTTTATGTTTGACGATTTAATAATTAAATAAATCAAATGCCGTAATGTCTCAAATTTAGCAGCCCAATCTTGTCTTTCCATGAACAACCTGAATGAAGGATTTCCAAGGAAGTGTTAAGTTCTGGTAATATCAATGAGTCCAGAAACTCTTAGAGGTCTCCCTCAGATAGGATTGCAAAGGAGCGTCATGTTTACCAAGCCATCCTGGCTGCACTAACGTACATGGAATAAAATCAGCAAAGGTCAGCATGAATTATGGCAGGCAAAACAACTATTGTGGATCTGTTTAAAAAGTGTCTGTGATGTTCTGGCTAGTTTTGTTTAAGTACTATTTATAATACTGATGAGAAAAAAACAAAAATGAAACGGGATGCATTTGTGGAGAATTCCTTAAGGGATTCTTTGCATGAGAGAAAACCAGCCAAATTTGTAATTAATGTTTTGGGGTTTTGTTTTTGTTTTTTGTAAACAGAAGCTTGAAGTGTCACCATAGTTATAGCTGGGTATTGATGGGAAAGGAAGCAAAGGGGGAGACATCGCTGAGCATGTTCAGCTGGGAAGCAGAGGCCTGATTGCTTCACCAGGAAGCTACAGCTTGACACCCCAAGAAATTGCAGAATTGTCCCTCCAAGGGATTAAAACCCCTCACTTCTCTCCTCCAGTACTGGATTGTAGGGGTGGGGGGAGCATGGGGAGATAGGGACATGCTCAGTAAAAGTAAAAATGGCACAGGGGAGAGGCCCTTCAATCTAACCTGGGGGCTGACTGGTTATTTTGAAAAAGCTCTGGTTCCTCCCAAGCCTGAGAATACCTAAGTCCAGGTGAGCAAAGCTCTCTCTCTTTTGCTCGTGACCCAGCCTTGTTCCACGCACTCGCCTGTTCTCTCTCCATAGTCATGTGGTCTTGAGCCATGCGGACTCCAAACACGGGCTCCAGGTGGGAGCCTGGATACCACAGCACAGCAATGGATGGCAGCCAGGAGCACAAGCTAAGTCAGCTGAATGCTGGACTGAAAAGCTTTAATATGGCACAGAACCTCTGCACATAGACTCTATTTCTGGCCCTGATTTTCCATGGCAAGATGGACAGAGATGGGACTGAAAGGACAGAACAGGACTGATAGCTGTGTCCTTATCCCCTCTTCCAAGAAAAAGCCGCAGAATGTATCAGTTACTCAGCCTGCCCTTATCTCGGCCAATGGGAAAGCGGGGGAAACTAGCCCAAGGCCAAGGGTATGCTAGCCACCCCCCTGTCTTTGTGTAACCAGACCCTAGCTGCACCTGCCCTTGGGTCACTAGCCCCCAGCCCTCACTCAACCAACCGGAATCGGCCAAATCAGTGGTCAGAGTGTGCCCCCCCCCACCCCAAGCCCTATAAATTCTTTGTTCCCCTGGGACTCAGGGCTCTCTCTCGCATCCAGTAATGGAGGCGGGGGGGGGGGGGGGGGGACCAAGTCCCGGGCTTGAATAAAAGACTCTATGCTTTTGCATTGGACTCGGCTCCCTAGTGGTCTGTCTTGGGGGATCTTGAAATCTGGGCATAACAGAACATTGGGGAACTTCTTTAATTTTGCTTCCTGAATAAATTTTGCCATCAGATCTCATCCTTTCTTGAGGGTCCCTGGAAATGCTTTTCCTCGTGAGACCGCAAGAACCCCACCGCCACCCACAACAGAGGAGTTGTGTAATGCAAGATGAAGCCTTTATAGAAGGGAAAGGACCCAGTTAAACAGATTCAGCTATGGGCCTGGTGAAATATAAAACAACGTGGGCTTTCTTAGTGAGTATCCATGATTTAAGGAATTCTGAGGAGAAAAGACAGAAATCCTGCGGCACCTGAAAATGAACACTGTTGCATTTAACTAGGATGACTTTGGCAAGGCATTTTTTTTTTAAATCCTCACCCAAGGTATTTTTCCATTGGTTTTTAGAGAGAGTGGAAGAGAGAGGGAAAGACAGAAATATCGATGGATGTGAGAGAAACACATCAATTGGTTGCCTCCTGCACGTGCCCTGACCAGGGCCCAGGCTGCAACTGAGGTACATGCCCTTGACCAGAATGGAACGTGGGACCCTTTGGTCTGCAGACTAACACTTTATCCACTGAGCCAAGCTGGCTAGGGCAGCATGGCATTTTGAAAGAGGCTGTCATATCTACTGGAACTAGCTGCATCTGGGTTCTGTAATTTAACATACAAATAGCTATAGCTTATCAGAACCTGAAAAGCCGTCCGAAAGCCTGAGAATAGGTTCATGTGGGTTAAAGGAGGCTTGGGATTGTGCTGGGTACACAATAAGCCCTTGTCAACATTTGCTGGTTTGGACTGAAATGAAACCCAACCTGAATGAGGTCCCTATTTGGTAACAATGGTGAAGATCATGGTTGCCTAGGCAACAATGACTAGAATGCTTGGTATAAAGGTGGGTCTCAACAGTTGACTCACCAGCAGCTGTACAACTGCAGCAGCAGGAGAGGTGAGAGAAACTGAGAGAACCGTAAGCTGAGGTGGATCAGTGGATCGACTGAGTCGTATCCTGACACCGAAGCAGGAAGTGTTTGTTTGTGTATCACCATCATTTTGTAAAAGTCTGATAATTTTCCACTTGTTCGTCAAGATGGAAAACTCAGATTCTGGCGATGAAGGAGATGAATCTGCGGCCCAGCGCAGAAATCAGACAAACCGATTAGCTCGGGATTTTTATCGGTTTGTAAATAACCTGAGTGAAGATGAGTACAAGCTTATGAAGAGTAACAATTTGCTAGGCAATCCAGGCGAAAGTACAGAAGAGGAGTTGCAGAGACGACTTCACCTAGTTAAAGACAAACTACTGGGAAACTCAAATGAAAATACAGGTATACTTTGTTTGTGATGGGATGGATAAGGAACTTCATAACAGTGAGTGTCAACCAGAGATTATACCAGGGGTGGGCAAACTTTTTGACTCGAGGGCCACAATGGGTTCTTAAACTGGACCGGAGGGCTGGAACAAAAGCATGGATGGCGTGTTTGTGTGAACTAATATAAATTCAAAGTAAACATCATTACATAAAAGGGTAAGGTCTTTTTTTTTTAAGTTTTATTCATTTCAAACGGGCCGGATCCAGCCCGCGGGCCGTAGTTTGCCCACGGCTGGATTATATAGAGTGGCACAAATTAATCTAGTGCTAAGTAACTTCTCAACAAACAAACAAACCACAAACCTAGCATTTATTCATTTTTTTGGTGAGAATGTCAAGGTACTTCTCCGCCTCCCCCTCACCCCCATTCACATTTGCGTTGTTTTATTTGTGAAATAGCCTATTGATATTTTCCTTGGTTTTCCACCTCAATGGAAAATTCCTCCTTCTACCTGAATTATTTTTTTTCTATATAGACCAGCGGTTCTCAACCTGTGGGTCGCGACCCCTTTGGGGGTCGAACAACCCTTTCACAGGGGTCGCCTAAGACCATCAGAAAACACATAATTACATATTGTTTTTGTGATTAATCACTATGCTTTAATTATGTTCAATTTATAACAATGAAATTGGGGGTCACCACAACATGAGGAACTGTATTAAAGTGTCGCGGTATTAGGAAGGTTGAGAACCACTGATATAGACATATGACTTCCTCACCAGCAAAAACAAGTATTTCATATCCGAATCAAGTAGTTCTCAACTGGGGGCATTTTACAATACCTAAATATATTTTTGACATCCTGGGGGCAGTGGCTAGGAATGCTGCCCAGCATTCCACAAGGCACAGGATAGCTCCCTAAATGAAGAATTGTATCATGCCAAAATGTCAGTAGTGTTAAGGTTGAGAAGCCCTGCTCTAACCTCAGGGCTGGTGGTTCTCTCCCAGTGTGAAGTAGAGACTTTTACTATGTACTGAAGAGGACACGGAAATAGTTTGGTTCTTGAACATGGTCCTATATGCACTATGCTAGGTTTAGTCTACTCATTTATCTAACCTTCAATTTCATGTCAATTCAAAATCTTGGTAACATTAATAAGTATTCCAATACTTTAAACCTATAAACCTTCTTTATATTTGGGTAATGGCTATAATAGTCTTGTATTTTAAAACAACTTTATATATTATCAAAAGCACTTAAGTCAAAAGCCTAGAAGTAATGTGGACTAGTGAAAATTACCTAATAATGTAAACTGAAGAAAAATAACAAGCACTGTACCTTACCTGGTATTTGTCTTGTTTAATTGCATTAGTAAATTTTGACAGTGGAGTGAAAAAACTGTTGTCACTTGACAGTCCTCTCCCAGGATGTGTATATGATGAACTATTAAAAATAGACCTCCATATTCATTTTTTTTAAAAATATATTTTATTGATTTTTTTTACAGAGAGGAAGGGAGAGGGACAGAGAGCTAGAAACATCGATGAGAGAGAAACATCGATCAGCTGCCTCCTGCACATCTCCCACTGGGGATGTGCCCGTAACCAAGGTACATGCCCCCGACTGGAATCCAACCTGGGACCCTTCAGTCTGCAGGCCGACGCTCCATCCACTGAGCCAAACCAGTCACGGCATTAATAAAACAATTCTCTAAATTTATCTAGGATTATCTCTGTCTTTCAGATAGAATTGAAACTTTCTTGCCTGTACTTGTGAATTTGCAGCGTGGTTTACAAAATATTCATTCTATAAATGTAAAATTTGTTTATAAGATCTGAGTATTTATCACCATTTTAGTTTGTTTTTGAAACAACGTTTCAGAGTGCTAGCCTACGATGGCTCTAATCTTGGTATTTCCTTTCTGAGCTCCCCACTTTTTTGTTAACAGGTGAAGGAGACTCTCCCGATGATGTGTCTAGCAGTGACTCTTTAATAGACTGGCTCATCTCTTTTGAACCAACGGAAAATGTGACAAGTGGGCAAAGAGAACCCCAACCTTGTAGAGAAGTGAGCCAGGTTAATCCTCCCAGTGATTTCAGATTCAGTTCTGGCAGTTCAAGTGTGGAGAGTAAATATGTACCATCTATAAGATTTCCCAGAGGACAAAGCATGGAAAGTGGCCACAATCACCTGGAAAACCCACAAGCTGAACCACGATTTATAAGACCATCTAAATCAGAACAAAGTACACCAAGGCCATCAATAAGAGTCACACCTACTAGAAGTCAGAAAAGGGCAAGAAGCAGAAGCCCAGACCACAGTAGAACCAGAGCAAGAACTGAAAGTGGGTCACCTCCACGTGCACTGGGTCCACTTGCACAAAGACTTCATCAGAGTCACTCATCTCCAACGAGTGGCTCTATTAGAGACCAGCTTAATGCTTTCGAGCAAACTAAAAATGTGCTATGTGGGCAAGGAGAACACCAACCTTGGAGAGAAGTGAGCCAGGCTAATCCACACGGTGATTTCAGATTCAGTTCTGGCCGTGCAAGTGCAGAGAATAAATACGTACCATCTACAAGACTTCCCAGAAGAGAAAATATGGAAAATAGCCACAGTCACGTGGAAAACCCACAAGCTGAACCAAGATTTACAAGACCATCTAAATCGGAACAAAGTACACCAAGGCCATCAATAAAAGTCACACCTACTAGAGGCCAGAAAAGAACAAGAAGCAGAAGCCCAGACCACAGTAGAACCAGAGCAAGAACTGAAAGTGGGTCACCTCCACGTTCATTGGGTCCCCTTTCACAAAGATTCCATCACAGTGCATCATCTCCAACTTTTGAGCAGCCTTTTGTGAGAGAGACTGGGAGATTTTTTAGAACTCGGCACCAAGAAACATCGACACAGCGAACAGCTGCACTTGAATCGCAAAACAGGCATCTTTTTGCAACATCTGGGACAAGGAATGGTGTTCAAGGAGAATCTTCTCCAGACACAACCGGTGACAGTGAATCTTGTGGATTGAGACAGACATATCCAAACATATGCCTCTGTTCTGCAGTAGGACGAGTTCATCCTGTAGCATATTCTGAGAGAGGCAGCATAACTAATAGAACTCAAATAACATCTGAGATACCAAATAGCACTGCCGCTTTAGACAGTGAACAAGGAGAACTTAGGCATATGTTTTCACATTATGAACCAGCAGATATGAGAGCTTATGTTAGTACCATTGGAATTCCCTTTTGTGGAATTTTAAGTACAGGTTTAAGTGATACAATACCTGGTGCAATTCAAAGCACGTTAAGGCAGACAGTGAGAGATTTTAGTGGCTCAAGTAATCCTATGGACAGTGAGAGTGATTTAGAGAGTATTCAGTCAGCGCCAAGTCCATACATGGAAAGGGCAGAGTCACCCTATGGAAGAGAGAGTTCTCATGGTAGGAGTTTTAGTTCCAGCTCAAATTCTAGCTGTGATTCCTATTTACATTCCACATTGACTTCTAGTTCAAACTCCAGTTACACATCCAGTTCCAGTTTCAGTCTGATGTCCAGTTCCAGCTCCAGTCTGATGTCCAGTTCCAGCTCCAGTCTGATGTCCAGTTCCAGCTCCAGTCTGATGTCCAGTTCCAGCTCCAGTCTGATGTCTAGTTCCAGCTCCAGTCTGATATCCAGTTCCAGCTCCAGTCCGATGTCTAGTTCCAGTTCCTTCAGTGATGAAAATTCAGAAATTAGCACCCTGTTCTCTGAAGGCAGTGATGAAAGAAGATTCTCACCATACTCATCAGAAACCTGGGGTGACAGTAGATCTATGACCCCAATAACATCAGATGAAAGTGACTCTTGGGCCTCTCTTGATCAATTTTTATTCGTGAATGATTATGATAACCATCCAACAGGACTCAGCAAAGCAGAGATTGACAACTTGGCTATAAGACCTTTTTCTGAAAATGATACATCGAAAGTCTGTATAATTTGTATTACAGAGTACACAGAAGGCAACAAGCTTCGCATACTACCTTGCTCCCATGAATATCATGTGCACTGTATTGATCGCTGGCTGTCTGACAACTCTACCTGTCCTATTTGTCGCAGGGAAGTAGTAGGTTCTGATTAGAGAGAAAATTTTAATTGAGATCTGAATTCTCAGCTATATAAACTGTTATAATGATGGACAAACAACAGTCACCTGGCTTATACCCACTTTTGGAGTGATGCTTAAATATAACAATCTGAATTTAATTGTGAATCTAAATGAAATATGTACTGAACCACTGGTTCTTGAAGGAATTATTGTACTTTCCCAAATTTCTGTTTGAGAATAAAATAAACTGTATATATTTTTCAAATTATTTATTTACTTGCATATTTTTTATTAAGTAATGGTGTCAAGATCCTTTTTTAAAAATACGTTTTTATTGATTTCAGAGAGAGGAAGCGAGAGAGAGTGAGAGAGATAGAAACATCAATGATGAGAGAGAATCATTGATCAGCTGCCTCCTGCACTCCCCCCTACTGGGGATTGAGCCCTCAACCCCTGCATGTGCCCTGACCTGGAATTGAACCATGAACTCCAGGTTCATAGGCTGATGCTCAACCACTGATCCACACCTTCTGGGCAATATTTTATTTTTCAAATTATAAGAGAAAGTTTATTTAGAAAGTTACAGAGCTAGTAGAAGTGAGCCAGCTGGGCTGCATAGGCTCAGGAAACAAGTTACAGAAGCAATAGAAGGGTTGATGGAGCTTCGGAAAAAGAAAGGCAAAGGCAATGTACCTGGGAAGGGGAAGGGAAAAGTGTAGGTGTGCCCCTAAGGGGGAGAGTACACTGAGAATAAAAGGAAATATTACAAAGTCAAATAATATTGACATAATTGACAGTAAAAATTCATACTATAGCAAGTGACGGAATTTCTAGAAAAAAATTAGCGGATACACTGGGTTGGGTTGATCCTTACTTCATAAGAGAAATGTCTTAATATGACATAATCAACCCACATAGATCCTGGGAGTCTTACCTAGTCATGTAAATTCCAGACATCTATCTATAGCCATGCCCTTATATTGGATATGGATGCAAAGAAACAGGAACTCAGCCACAATAATTTTGCAATTTAGGAATTAATTGGAGTCACGTAAGTCGTGTTACATTCATAGAATGGTGCAAAAAGCTTTGAAAACCTCTTCCTATCTCTCTCTCCTATCTCTCTTTACCACACCTTAATACTACCTTGACTTTTTCTCCCATTCCCCACTACCAATGTATCAATCAGAGTCCTGGCTGAACATTAACAACACACTTGGAAAAAGTGATGGAATAGCATTTAATAAAGAGACTACTTTTTAAAATGTGCAAGGAATGGAGGGAAAGCAAGAAATGATGAAGTACCCTGAGGCTAGCAACTGTGGGAAGCCTGTATTATCACTACTAGGCGTGAGGGGGCATACAGACTGCAACTCAGCATGTGCTGTAATGGTAACAGAAGGCCACCCAACAAGAGCTGTGACCTTAAGTAGACAAATGGCAGCCACTTAGGGGATTCATGGAAGTAAATACTCTTACCTTGCTTTCCTCCTGACTTCTAATCTCCTGTTGGTAGTTCACATTAGCTAAACCCAATCTGAAGACACAGAGCAAGAGAGACTGGTTGATAAAGACTGGTCAGCCTCCTGGAATCACAGATTAGGGTAGAGAAGGATGGTGAGTGTATCTGAAGAGCAAATCAGAGACCACCTACCACAACCAGCATTCCCAACTCTCTTCACACCCAGTCCGTCTATGTTTTCTTGCTGCTTCCTCTTGTTCTTTTTGACTCAGCAGTTTAACAACCCTCTTAAATACTCCTACCTTGTATGATAGAAAGGACAAGTACATTTTATCTTTAGAAGTGATGAGGTGAGAAACCCTTAGAACTCAATTCTCTTAAACATTGGTTTGCACTTTGGTTTGCTGTGCTTGTTAACAACTAAAGAAAAAGGGCAGTATAGGTATTTCTTTTAAAAAAAATACATTTTTATTGATTTCAGAGAGGAAAGGAGATGGAGAGAGAGATAAAAACATCAATGATGAGAAAGAATCATGGATGGGCTGCCTCCTGCACGCCCCCCCACTGGGGATCAAGCCCTCAACCCAGGCATGTGCCCTAGGCCGGAACTGAACCTGGCTCTTTCAGTCTGAAGGCCAACGCTCTATCCACTGAGCCAAACCAGCTAGGGCAATATAGGTATTTCTTTAATTTTTGCCACATGAGTATATTTAAGTTTCAATATGTTTTTATATATAAGTTTAGTTCATATGATTATTTTAAGATAGATTCTTATTTCTTATAAAGGGTTTTATGGTTTATACATGCCTCTTAATCTTTGTGCGAATGATCCCAAAGCACTTAGTTGCTGTTGGAGCCTCCTGAGTTGCAATCTGAAAGTCTTAAAAATAAAGCCCGAATTAAAACATGTCTACTAACTCAGTGTTAATTGTCCCCAGTAAAAATAAAAGTATCACCCCAAATCATTACTTAAAATCAAATTTCAGAGTAGGCTTCCTTTCCAATCCAAACATAGTTAAGGGTTTTTCTCATAATGCAGCCAAAAAACTCCCTTTTTTTTGGAGGGGGGGTGGGCAGGGAAGGGTATATTGGCCAGTCCAGAATATTTTACTTAAAAATTTCAATCCTGGTTTAGTTGAGAATACATTATATTAAGACCTACAGTAATAATCATAATAGTCATAAATTGTGTGCAGTATGAAACCTATGTAAGTGTGGATAGTGTTAAGCATAAACCTGCTCTAAAAATTTAATCAGAATAATCTCTGACCTTTATTTCCTATATGAATTGCTAGTAGCCACAGTAATTGCACAGAACTATAAAACATAATGGGAAGCGGAGGTGAAGTTTTTTTTTTTAATATATTTTTTTATTGATTAAGATATTACATATGTGTCCTTGTCCCCACGTTACCCTCTACCCCCCACCCCCCCACCCCCGCTCATGCCCTCACCCCCCCGTTGTCCATGTCCATTGATTAGGCCTATATGCTTGCATATAAGTCCTTTGGTTGATCTTTCCCCCTTACCCCCACCCTCCCCTACCTTCCCTCCAAGTCCCGACAGTCCAATCAATGCCTCTCCGTCTCTGGATCAGTCCTTGTTCATCAGCTTATGTTGTTCATTATATTCCACAAATGAGTGAGATCCTGTGGTATTTATCCGCTCTCCAGTTCCATCCATGCTGTGGCAAATGGTAAGAGTTCCTTTTTCTTCTTCCTCTTCTTAAAGAATACCTTTCAGCATTTCATATAATGCTGGTTTGGTGGTGATGAACTCCTTTAGCTTTTTCTTATCCGTGAAGCTCTTTATCTGACCTTCTATTCTGAATGATAGCTTTGCTGGATAAAGTAATCTTGGTTGCAGGTTCTTGCTATTCATCACTTTGAATATGTCTTGCCAGTCTCTTCTGGCCTGCATGGTTTCTGTTGAGAAATCAGCTGACAGTCGTATGGGTACTCCCTTGTAGGTAACTGACTGTCTTTCTCTTGCTGCTTTTAAGATTCTCTCTTTATCTTTTGCTCTTGGCATTTTAATTATGATGTGTCTTGGTGTGGTCCTCCTTGGATTCCTTTTGTTTGGGGTTCTCTGCGCTTCCTGGACTTGTAAGTCCATTTCTTTCACCAGGTAGGGGAAGTTTTCTGTCATTATTTCTTCAAAAAGGTTTTCAATATCTTGCCCTCTCTCTCCTTCTGGTACCCCTATAATTCTGAGGTTGGTACGCTTGAAGTTGTCCCAGAGGTTCCTTACACTATCTTCATATTTTTGGAATCTCTTTTCTTTTTTCTTTTTCGGTTGGGTATTTTTTGTTTCTTTGTATTTCAAATCTTTGACTTGATTCTTGGGATCCTCTTTTCTGCTGCTGGATCTCTGTAAATTATTCTTTATTTCAGTCAGTGTATGCTTAATTTCTAGTTGGTCCTTTTTCATGTCCTCCATGGTCTCCCTATACTTATTGAGGGATTCATTAAATTTATCGGCGGTTTCCATAAAATTCTTGAAAAACCTTATAACCGTGGCCTTAAACTCTATATCCAATCGTTTGCTTTCCTCCATTTCTGCCATTTGTGACCTGTTTCTTTGTCTCCGCATTTTGGCAGCTTCCCTGTGTTGATAGAGTGGCCCTGTGCGCCAGGTGTCCTGTAGGGCCCAGTAGCTCAGCCTCCCCAGTTACCTGGGGTGGACACTCTTGGTGCACTCTTGGTGCCTTGGTTGTTGTAGAATCACTGGGAGGAATTGACCTCCAGGCCAATTGGCTGTGAGAATCAGCTGTGTCTAAAGTGGGAGAACTTCTGTGCTGAAGACACCCTTCTGGGGCAAGACTTGCTTCAGTGGGGCTTTGGTGCTCACTGAGTCTGCTCCCTGAGTGCGTCCCTTATGGATCTGAGGAGTAGCAGTCTGGATGGACCCCCTCTGACCACTGGGTACAGTGGCTCCTGGATCTAAGGAGGTGCTAATTCAGCCTCTGCCTGAGGCCACACAGCAGGAGCCACGAAGAGGCTCAGCTGTGAAGCAATGCAAGCCGCTGCGGGGCCTTGGGCCTTCTCTTGGAAGTTCCGGGTCTGCCTGGCTGGGCTGCAGTTAGGTACATTCACATGCAAAAGCCTCTGCCGCAGCCTGGGTGGGGCGGGGTCTCAGGGAGTCAGAGGGCGGAGAAAGCGGCCATGGCCGATTCTCCACCCGGAGTCGCGCGTCTCAGTGTTCCGGTAACGGCTGCAAGCACCTCTGAGGGAAAGCCGCCCTCAAGTTCGCTCGCTGCTGGACAGACCAGCCTCTCCCCGTATGAGTCCTGGGTCCCCAGAGACTTCCCGGAACCGGAGTTCAGAGCAGTCAGGAGCTTGTGACTCAAAAAGTCAGCCGCGTCCTCAGGTGCTACCCCCTTTCCTCGCGCGCGCGCCGCCGTACCTCTGCACTTCACCTCCGCAGCGCCTCTGGCTCTCAGCGTGCTTTTCTTTCCTTCTAGTTGTGGAATTTACACTCAGCCAGCCTTCCTGTTGTTCTGGATGATGTTTGCTCAGTCCTTTGCGGTAATTTTCAATTGTTGTGTGAGGCGATAATTTCCCGGTGTTTACCTATGCCGCCATCTTAGTTGCTCCGGAGGTGAAGTTTTTAATGTGTCTTTGAACTAGCATATTTTTCACTCAGAAGATACTTGCATGGCCAGAAATGTAGAGTTAGATCAAGCCTCTAAAGTTTCACATTAAATTACAAAAGTTGTGTGAATATTCTGTTTTTTTTAATTAAGTATTTCTCATACCAGGTCTACTTCATTTAAGGTAAGTAAAATAATTATAACAGTAGTTGGCTTTCTTGCTATCCTAATTTTTTGCTTTAACCCTAAAACATTTAGGAAACTCAAAAGAAGGAAAGTCTACTGTAATTACCCACATTTTTGTTTATTGTGCTCTTTCTTCCTTAATGATATTCCAGGTTCTTTCTTTTATTGTTCCTTTTCCTTTTAGAGAACTACTTTTAGTCATTCTTTTGGGGTAGGACTGCTAGTAACAATTCTCTTAGTTTTTCTTTATTAAAAAATGTTTTGATTTCCTTTTATTCCTTAATAATATTTTGGTTGAATACAGGTTTCTAGGTTGAGCGTTCTTTTTTTTTTTTAGCAGTTGAAAAATATTATGCAACTGCCTTCTGGTCTTTGTTTTCTATTGAGAAATCCATTTTAGTTCCAATTGTTTTTCCCTTATAAAGTAGGGCCTTGTCTCTTGCTGCTTTCAAGATGTTTTCTTTGGCTTTTAGAAGTTTCACTCTGATATAACTTGGTGTGCATTTCTTTGGATGTATCCTATTTGGAGTTTGCTCAAGCTTCTTGAATCTGTAGGCTATGACTTTCCCCTAATATTAAGGAAGTTTTCAGGCGCTATTTCTTTAATAACTTTTAACCCCTGCTCCCTTTCTTTTCTCTTTCTAAGACTTCTATGATAGGATTGTTATATTTTATTTACTTACTTACTTACTTACTTATCCTCACTTGAGAACATGTTTTTCTTGATTTTAGAGAGAGAAGAAATGGGGGGGGGGGTGGAGAGAGAGAGAGAGAGAGAGAGAGAGAGAGAGAGAGACATCAATGTGATAAACATCAATCGTTGCCTGCTGTACTCACCCTGGGGATCAAACTGGCAACCTAGGTATATGCCCTGACCCAGAATCAAACCCACAACCTTTAGGTGCACGGATGATGCTTCAATCAATTGAGCCACTAGGATAGGGCAGGACTGTTATTTTTTTTTTCTTATAGTTCCACAGTTCCCCAAGGCTCTGTTCATTTTTTTGTTTTTGTTTCAGTCCACTTGTTTATTTTTATTCTGGAAAAATAACACAAACTTTAACATTTAAACCCCTTTTATTTTTTTATTTATTTTTTTAAAAGATATATTTTATTGATTTTTTACAGAGAGGAAGGGAGAGGGATAGAGAGTTAGAAACATTGATATGCCCTAGCTGGTTTGGCTCAGTGGATAGATCGACGGCCTATAGACTGAAGAAACATTGATGAGAGAGAAACATCGATCAGCTGCCTCCTGCACACTCCCCACTGGGGATGTGCCTGCATCCAAGGTACATGCCTTTGACCGGAATCGAACCCAGGACCCTTGAGTCCGCAGGCCAACGCTCTATCCACTAAGCCAAACCAGTCAGGTTAAACCCCTTTTAAATGTACAGTTCAGTGTTATTGTGTCCACATTATTGGTACAACCATTACTATTTTTCCACCATCCCAAATTGAAACTCTCCACTTATTAAATAATAACTCCTTATTCCTCCCTCTTCCCACCTCCTGGTAACCATTATTCTACTTTCCTGATAAATTTGACTATTCTAGGTACTTAATGTAAATAAAATCCTATAATAATTGTTTTTGCATCTGACATTTCATTTAGCATGTTTTTAAAATTCATTTGTGTTGTAGCATGTATCAGACTTTCATTTCTTCTTAAGGCTGAATAATATTCAATTTTATGTATATGCCACATTTTGTTTATTAATTTATCTGTTGAATAGTTTTCAACTTTTGGCTATTTTGAGTAATGCTGCTATGAATACTGGTGTACAAATATTTGTTTATGTCCCTGCTTTCAATACTTTTGGGTATATACCTAGACGTGGAATTGCTGGATCATTTGGTAATTATTTTTAAAAAAATATATATATTTCTTTATTGATTTCAGAGAGGAAGGGAGAGGGAGAAATAGAAACATCAATGATGAGAATCATTGATTGGCTGCCTCCTGTACGCCCCCTACTGGGGATCGAGCCTGCAACCCAGGTATGTGCCCTTGGCCGGAATCGAACCTGGGACCCTTCAGTCCACAGGCTGACACTCTATCCACTGAGCCAAGCTGGCTAGGGTGCATTTGGTAATTCTATGTTTAATTTTTTAAAGAACTGTCATACTCTTTCTCACAGTGGCTGTACCATTTTATATTCTGTTCATCTGTGGACAGATTGGGTAATTTCTATGTTGCATCTCCAGTCATTGATTTTTTTTCTTCTGTCCTTTCCATTCTGCTGTTAAGCCCATCAGGTTTTTAGTTTTAGTTTTAGTTATTGTATTTTTTAAGTTCTAAATTTCCATTTGGTTCCTATTTATATCTTTTATATCTTGGCTGAGACTTTCAATTTCTTTGTTGAAACATTTTTTAAAAAATATATTTTATTGATTTTTTTTTTTTTTTTTTTTTTTTTTACAGAGAGGAAGGGAGAGGGATAGAGAGTTAGAAACATCAATAAGAGAGAAACATCGATTAGCTGCCTCCTGCACACTCCCTACTTGGGATATGCCCGCAACCAAGTTACATGCCCTTGACCGGAATCGAACCTGGGACCCTTGAGTCTGCAGGCCAAAGCTCTATCCACTGAGCCAAACCAGTTAAGGCTTTGCTGAAACATTTTAAGTGTGCTTATAATTGGTAGTTGAGATATTGTATGATAGCTGCTTCAAAATCTTTTCAGATAATCCTAACATCTCTGTCATGTCAGTGTTGGCATCTATTGATTGCCTTTCTTCATTCAGTTTGAAACCTTTCTGGTTCTTGATGAGATGATGACTTTTCAATTGAAGCATCGATGTTTGCATATTTTGTTATGGCACTCTGGATCTCAAGGCCGCCTGTTTTAGTTGGCTTTCTCTGACATAGCTCTGGCAGTGGAAGGAGGGAGTCCTTCCTTTTACTGCCCCATGAGGGTACAAGTAGAAGTTCCATGTTCAGCCTTCACTGACTCTCTCAGGAGTGGGAACAGTTCTTGGTCACTGGTGGGGGATGGAAGTTCCAGCTCCAGCTAGGCTTCCAGTGATACCTCCTGGATGAAAGGGGTAGGATTGCCTTATTACTGCTTTCCAGGATTCCTTCATGGGGTTGCTGGTCTCCTTACTGCTGTGGGGGATGGAGTGGCTGCCTCATTATTGTCTGATAAGGGTTAAAGGTCAAATTCTATACATCATTGCCACTGACAGTGTGCAGTTATCGGAGGCTTTTTGTGTTGTGTTTTGTTTTGTTTTATTTGTACCTGTTGGTGTTTCCAGGTCACTGGACTTCAGCTCCAAGCATGGAACATACGTGGTAATCACACCTCTCTTGTTCTTTGGGTCCCAGTGTCCCTAGCCAGTCTTCCTCCTTCTTCCCACCTTGCAAAGTCTTCTCATTTTTGTTCTACCAATAATGCCCAGGGGTTTCGATGCACTTATTAGGAGAAGTAGGGAAAAACATTTTTACATCTTCTCAGAAGAAGTCTGAATTTTGAATACATTTTAAGATGGAGCCTAGAGGAGTAACTGATGGATCAGGGGGTGGGGTGAGAGGGAAACAGAGGAGTCAAGGGTTTTGGTCTTATTAACTAGAAGAACAGAGCTGTCATCAAATGAGATGCGGAAGACTATGTGAAGAACAATTTTTTTTTTTTTTTTTTGCGGGGGAGGGAAGTTGGAGCTCAATTTTGCAAAGGTTAAGTTGGAGGTACCTGTTGGACATTTAAGTGGAGATGTTGAATAGGCAGACAGGTAGACATGCTGGTGTGGAGTTCAGTAGAGAGGTCTGGGAAAATATAAATTTTGGATTCATCAGTATAATGCATAAAGTTTAGAGGTTTGAGAGTGGATGAGGTCACCATGACAGGGAGTAGAGATAAGGGAACAAAGATGTAGAAGAATGGAACTCTGGTGCAGTTTCTTCAATATTAAAAAGTTGGGGAAGGGTAGAAAAATCATCAATGGTGACAGAAGAAAGGAATAGCCAGTGAGATAGGAAGCAAACCAGAAATCCAAATGAAGGAAGTGATATTACTTCTATATTGACTTCCTATTTCAAATTCTACTTCATGTGTCTCTCCCTTCCTCTCTTTGTACAGATGCTCCTAGATTTATGAGGTTAGGTCCCTATAAACCCATTATAAGTTGAAAATATCTAAGCTGAAAATACATTTAATACACCTAAACTAATATCATAGCTTATCCTAGCCTACCATAAACATGCTCAGAACACAATATGCATAAGACGGTGGCAACACAGTATACTGATGATTACTTACCATCTAGATCTCAATTTGACTTGGGAGCTGTCAATATCATACCACATATTGCTAGCCTGAAAAAAGATCAAAATTCAAAATTTGAAGTATTAATTGCTTTATTAATTAATTTGAAGTATGGTTTTTACTAAATGGTTTTGCACCATTATAAAGTAAAAGATATCTTAAGTCAAACCATTGTAAATTGGGGGTGTCTGTATTTGTATCTCTTGGCTGTGGGCTGTTTCATGCACAGGGGGCCACATGCACTGTTTTGGGTCAGGTTGAAAGAACCCATGCAGTGTGATTAGCACACATGTCTGGAAAATCTTAGTGGGATATTTCCAAGGCTAAAATATTACAAAGGAATTTAAAACTTTACTTACCAGTTTTATTGTGACTAGTAATATTGGTATTGTAATTTTGAAATGAAACCATATATATAGTAGGATAAAGCAATTAGTAAATGTATTATTATTTGTAAGTAACCTGGATGCTTTCTGGTGCTCATCGTTCCAGCTAGCCAATGACAGGCACAAACTTCTAGATCTGGTTCTTCCATGAGGGATTTTCTTCTTCTCTTTTCTTTTTATTTTTCTCTTACTGATTTCTAGTGTAATTCTACTACAATCAACCTTCAATAGTTCTAAACTTGTGGAGACTCTCTCTGTGGCCCAGGTTGTGGTCTGTTTTGATAAATATCTCATGTGTACTTGAAAATAATGGATACAACTTTTTATGTTGTATCATTAGGAATTTTTCAGGTGTAACTGTTTCTGTTCACAGATTGTAATATGAAACCAGACCCTCACAACAAAAATCTCAGGGCAGGAAATACCCTTCATTGGTGTAACCACTTCATCAGTTCTGCCTAGATATTTATTTAATAAGTAAACATTTCCAACATAAGGACTAGGCAAAATGTATTTGGAAGCAGAGAAAGTTATAAATTCCTTATCTAAGATGATTTTCTAAAGCTGTCAAGTATTCCTTTAGATACTTGAGACTTGGCGCTAGCCAGTTTGGCTCAGTGGATAGAGCATCAGTCTGCGGAACTATGGGTCCCTGGTTCAATTCTGGTCAAGGGCACATACCTCTGTTGCAGGCTCCTCACAATCAATCGATGAGTTTCTTTTACATCGATATTTCTGTCTTCCACTCTCTCTAAAATCAATGGAAAAATATCCATGGGTGAGGATTAACTAAATAAATAAAAATAAATATTTTAGATGTGTATTTCACACAAGTCAGTGTTATTTTTACAGAATATATTCGGCATCATACTTCAACACTTTGCATAAAATAACTTCTTGGTCCTTATGTAATCTTACGTGAAACTAATATCAGCAAAGGGCTATTCTGGTAATTCTGAAAAAAGAATTTCTGTATAATCTAAGTCAGCCGTGGGCAAACTATGGCCCGCGGGCCGGATCCGGCCCGTTTGAAATGAATAAAACTAAAAAAAAAAAAAAAAACCGTACCCTTTTATGTAATGATGTTTACTTTGAATTTATATTAGTTCACACAAACACTCCATCCATGCTTTTGTTCCGGCCCTCCGGTCCAGTTTAAGAACCCATTGTGGCCCTCGAGTCAAAAAGTTTGCCCACCCCTGAATTCTAAGTGGTTAGAGACAGTTATCTAAAATTACATAAGACAAAATGCAATACTGCTCACCAGTAATGAACAGAATAAGGTTGGATAATTCACGTCTGTTTCCTAATGTGTGTAATGGGAGTTAGTGAAACTCTTCATAGTTTGCAAGATTGGGAATTGGGATTAATAAAAAAATTAGAAGTGAAAGCATTTTTACACATGAGACATCATGTAAGTGTGAATTACAATGCTATTATCAATAGCCTAATAGAGACTGACTAAACATAAAGTGGAAACATTTTATTTTTTTCTCCAAAATAAAAAGATTAAAAGGGCAAATATTCAATATCGTTGCTCTCAAACTCTTTGCACACTATAAGTTAATAAGACTAATGTTTTAAACATTAGTTTTTCACCTTTACACATTTTTCAATATCTATTTCAGTGGATGTTTTATAATGTGCATAATACATCAATACAGTAGCACATAAATAAGTTGTGTTAATTTCTTAGGGCGGCTGTAACAAAGTACCACAAACTGCATAGCTTAAAACAGCAGAAATGTGTGGTCTCACAGTCTGAAGTTGGGGTGTCCTCAGGGCCATGCTCTCCCTGAAGGCAATAAGGGAGAATCTGTTCCATGCCTTCCTTCCATGCCTTTCTCTTTGTTTCCGGTGTTCCCGGCAATCCTTGGGCTCCTTGGCTTCTAGACACATCACTCCAATCTCTGCCGCGTTTGTCACAAAGTCTTTCTTTTAAAAAGTCCACTTCAAGCATTTTATGGGGGGGGGAGGGGGGGGGAGCCTCAAACACACAATGCGCATGCGCAAAGGATTCCGTTAGGGAAGGAGTTGAAGGGAGGCGGGGCCCTAGTCTAGCCTTTCCTCCCCGCTCCGCCCCTCGGACGGCGCACTGCGTATGACGTCACGTGAAGCTCGTACTTCCGCTTCCGATCACTCACGTTTCTCTTTCTTCCTGTCCCGCTGGAAAGATGGCGTCCCGCAAGGAAGGCACCGGCCCGGCCACCGCTTCTTCCACCTCCGCCAGCGGTGCGGCCGGGAAAGGCAAGGGCAAAGGCGGGGCCGGAGATTCGGCCGTGAAGCAGGTGCAGATAGACGGCCTGGTGAGTGGGGTGCCGTCTTCCCGGGCCCCCGCGGGGAGCGCAGTTCCCAGCCGGGTGCCGCCCGGCGCGCTTGCCGGCTGCCTCCCCTCTGGGCCACGTGAGGCTGGGCCAAGGTTTTCCCTGAAAATCCTCCTCTTTCGTCTCCGCTTTTTGTTCGGGAGGCGCTGCAGCTTTCTCCGCCATCTGACGGGGGAATTGAGGGCTGAGAAAGGGGACCGAGGCTCGGGGCGTGTGTGACAGGTCCCGGGGGCCTTGTTTTGAGGTGCTTGGGAGAGAGGACTTGGAGACAAACTCTTCTGGGCGACAGGTAGGTAGGTGACCCCTGGGTGTCAAGAAGGAGCTAGGACTCGGGGGCTATGGGAAGGGGAGAGCAGGGTAAACTTGGCTTCCGTCTGCTTTTTATACTTTTATTAAAAGTGTGTGAAAGTCCAGATCTTGTTAACTGCCTTTCTGAAATGTTTTCAGTGGCTTTGCAATGAGCTCAAGGCCCACCAAGATGTCCTTGCTTTTGTGTTTAGGTTTAATTCCTAGTATTTCCAAACTTCCTAGGAACTACATTCTAGCCACACAGAACTATTTGGTAAGCCTGATGTTGAATAGTATTTGTTCCTGACATCTTGATAGTGACCAATTGTTTTTCTTATATTCTTGAACCTTTTCTTTCCTACCTTTGGTCTTATTTATCAATTCCTCTGTTTCTTTAATATTACCTTTCCCTTCCTGTCTTAACATTTTCAAGACATTCCCATAGTAAAATGTTCAGCTCTGTCTCTTAGCATTCTGTGTTCCCTTCTCAACCCCCATATTTTTCCTCTTGAAGTCAGTGGTTAAAAATTGTCTATAGTAGCAGTCTTCCACTTTTCTTTAAGCCACTGCTTTTAGAATCTGCCACCACCAATTTCCTATGTCTTTAAAAATATAATTGATAACATTAGCAAAGAAGTGTAAAAAGAAAATCAAAATGTCATACATGCAAAGTAGTGTCTATAATACATCTATAAAAACAAAAGCCTAATATGCTAATTAGACTGGACATCCTTCCCAACGACCTTTCAGACGAAGCTGGGACTGCGAGGGAGCCTGGGTCTGGGGTGCCAGAGGGAAGCTGGTGCCGGCAGCCGGGGGAAGGAAGGCCTACTCCTGCACGAATTTTGTGCATGGGGCCTCTAGTGATTTGAATAATCACAAAATACATATCCAGTCACCTGCTATTCAGCTTCAGAAACAGAACATTACAAATATCTTTGAAGCCCCTTTCCATTTCATCCTTTTCTCCTATCCCTTCTCCTCACCCTATTATCACTATTGTGATCTTTGATTCAGTAATTTTTTTTAGTAGCTTCACAACACAAGTATTCCTAAACAGTTTGTTTAGTTTTGCCTGTTTATATTAATACATATGAGTGAATTAAATCATAGTATGTTTTCCTATGTCATATATATATATCTGTGTGTGTGTGTATATACGTATATATACGTATATACACACACACAGTCACACCATGACTGAGATTAGTCCATTCTAGAGTGAGTAATTGTAATTCATGCATTTTCATTGCTATACAGCATTTCATTGTATGGCTATAACATAAATTTCTTTATCTGACTGTTAATGGACAACTACATGGCTTTTTTCCTTGTGTGAAATGGTATCTCCCAATCATCATTTAACTGTCCATTCTGTTAGACTTGTCAATGTGTCTTTTACTGTACCCTGCACAGAATCAGTGCTCAGCATATCTTTTTGGGATGGAGGAGTGGATCTTCATTGTAGTCAAATGGTCTCATTGTTCCTAGACAAGATCAAGCTAATTCTTCCTGTTGAGCTTATATAAAACCTACTTTGTTCTCCCAAACCAGAATGAATCTTATCTTTCTTATGTGCATTACACTTTTGATACTTACAAAGTATGGTCCATGGACCAGCAAAACAAGCAGAATTGGCCTCGGGTAGCTTGTTAGAAATGTATAAATAAAGTATCTCACAATCTCAGGCCTCTTTCCTGACATAGTGTATCAGATGATTTATAGCATATTAATGTTTGAAAAGTACTGCTCTGGTCCACATTGATCTTTTCCTTTCTTGGAACTTTTTATGATGATGGCTTGTATTGTTCATCTTGGCATGTGATCATACACAGTTAATTAATGGCTTACTGTTTATGTATTTTTCCTTTGTCTCTGAGATGGTAATCTGAAGGCTAAAGTGTAAAACATTTGTGTCTTACATAGTTCCAGTGCTTAAAATCCATTACCTTTTTTTAAAAAAAATGTTTTTGTTGAGTTTTAGAGAGAGAGGAAGGGAGAGGAAGAGATAGAAGCATCATGATGAGAGAGAATCACTGATTGGTTTCCTCCTGCATGCCCTGTACTGGGGATTGAGTCTGAAACCCCCGGCATGTGCCCTGACCAGGAATCGAACCCGTGACCTCTTGGTGCATGGGACAACATTCAACTAACTGAGCCATACCAGGGGGCAAAAATCTATTAACTTTTAAATTTTGTTTTCCCTTTTATGTAAAAAGTTGCCTTATTTTTTAAAATTATTAGCTACCTCATCCCTCCTTTATTGGAAGTAAGGTGGAGAATGTTACTAATAAATGAAAAAGCCTGAGTTATATATACTTCTTTTAAAAAATATGTATTTGATTTCAGAAAGAGGAAGGGAGAGGGAGAGAGAATCATTGATTGGCTGCCTCCTGCATGCCCCCTACTGTAGGATCAAGCCCACAACCTGGCATGTACCCTGGCATGTACCCAGCAGTCAAACTGTGATCTCAAGAATGTATGAGAAAGCTAGTATAATCTTTCTAATCTGTCATATTCTAGGAGAAGATTTGTAGCTAAAAGAAATCAATTTAGTAAATAATCTAAAGTTGGAAAAAGGCAACCTTTAGTCTCTGGGTCATACAGATTAACATATTGGGGAAAACAAGGTATATTAAGGGAAGTTAGGGAAGAAGTATTGGTAGGTATTCCTAATTAAGGTAGTTTCCTAACTAAGCCCATCTGACTTTTCCATCGCAGTATGCTTCCAAGATTTGGATAAATCCTGCAGATATTCTGGCCATTGTTTCTTTTCCTTAAGGTCAGAGAGCTTACTGAAATTGAAACCTATTGCCTTTAAAAATATTTTTTCTAACAGGCCTCCTGTGTTCATGGCATGCACATAGTAGTGAATATATCTGATTGCATTTTCTCAAATGGCAAATGAGAACAGGACAGCATTTTACTGAAAACCTCAATATCATCTGTCTTTTGGAGGATTCAGTTTCCTATGATGTGTATGATACTGTCCATAAGGATACCAACGGTGCTTAGTATTGAACATTTTGCTAAGTTGTTCTATCATGGGTCCTTGCTCCAAGTGTTCATCTTTTACTTCTAATCTGGTTTTCAGTATTTGATCCTGTGTTTCTTCATAAGTATGCACAGGATCTGGCCGAGGGATAGGCTTGGTGTGTTCATATGGAATATCCACAGAAGGATGGTAGCAAACTATCATCCTGCCATCAGATGTCAAAGCAAGTTCTACTTTGCAGTTATAGTCATCTGGAGAAGAGTATGTGGATTTATAACAAACAGAATAAAGCTCCATTTTGGATTGGAAATAAATGTTTCAGAATAGTTCTGTTTGATATCGCCCATTTC